GTGATGGCCTGCTCCTGCCCCCAAGGGCCCATGTCTAAGTCCTGGCCCTCATCCCGGCCAGGGGGGACCAGACCCCTTCCCAGTGGTGTCGGGCAGCCTCACTCCTCCCCAGAACTGGCAGGGAGGGAGCAGTAACCCTGGAACCAGGATGGGGAAGCAGGTGGGCTTCAGCCTGGTGGACTGGGGCGTCTCCCCACACAAGGGTCTCTCTTAAACGCGCACACACCTGGGATCTCAGTTTTAAACCTTTTCACATAAGAGTAAAACACAACAGGATTCATCATTAAAGGAATGCACAGATAAACAGACAAATAACTGACATCTTTCGAAAAAAACGAGGCTGCAGAGTGACTGGTTCTTGAGGTAGGTTTGAAGGGCAAGCGGAGTCAGGCCTGGCTGCCAGTGGGGTCACGGCCAGTCACGGCGGGGGCACAGTGGGGCACGGCTGGCTGGGCCATAGTGTGCGACTATGGATGCTGAGGGGAGCAAAACTGTGCCCTGGGCCCCAGCTCTCAAGGCAGAGGAGGTAGAAGACTTACCTCCCACCCTAAGGGCCAGGTGGCCTTATGCTCCCCTGCCTTCCGCCCACCTCCAGCCCCGCCCTGCGTGCTGGAACATGACTCTCACACATGCTCCTCCCCACTCCGTGCTCCTGTGGCCACCGCACAAATTGTGGGAAGAACGCAGCAGACAAACACGTCCTGGCAGGGTGATTTCCCTAGAGGTTTAAACACTGATTATGAGCTTAGACTCCCTTGAACTGTTTGAGCCATAATTATGTGTTTCATGGGACTGCCTCTCCAGAATGCCTGGCAAGCTCCAGTGGGCTTCGTTGGCGGGAACCAGCCATGTCCTTGGAGCCTGGACAGCGCTGCCTCTGGCCGCCACTCTCGTATGTGCCCTGATGCCCTCCACATGTGATTGGCCTTCTCTCCCTGGACCCGTCGGTGGTGATTCTACCGTGCATTCTGTCTATAGGAACAGTTTCTGGGCCCAGCAGGGCAGAGATGGACCTGGGGTTGGATTGCCGGTTCTGTGCCCAGAATGGTTTCCCCGGGGAAGCAGGACCAAACTAGGGCACACCGGGCTTCAAACAACAGGAAGATCCCACGTCCCAGTTCTGGAGGCCAGAAGTCTGAAATCGGGCCATGCTCCTTCTGGAGGCCCCAGGGGAAGGGCCTTATCTCCTGACCTGGCTCCTGGGACTCCCAGCACTCACGGCCATGTGGCCTCGTCCCTCGGTCTCCCCTCCGTCCACACAGAGCCTCCTCTCCTTCTGTCTCCTCTGCTCCTCTTAGTGGGACCCTTGTCGTTGGATTTAGAGCCTGTCCGGGCAATCCAGTCTCAGGTCCTGGGGGTTTGGGGTGGGCACATCTTTTGGGGGCTCTCCCACTCCTCCTTCATGGTGGGGGGCGGGGAGCATTCCAAAGCTGTGAGGCGTGAGGAGGCTCTGCTGGTGGCTCCTTTCCCTGAACCCCATCTAGTGTTCCAGACAGAAAGCGTTCATTCCCACGGGGAGCCCTCTTCTCGTTCTCCCCCACATCTAATGAACGCAAACTCTTTGTCCAACAGGTAAAGATTGGGAGGTTAGTGAGGAGCAGGAGCGGGTGGGGCTGCCTTCAATGTTGGGCGTGCAGCAATGAACAGAAGAGAGGGTGCTGCCGGGCCAGCCTTGCATTCTCCCAGAGTAAGACAGAGTCAGCACACACGTGCTAAGTCAGGGTGCTGAGTGTCCCAAGTTGCACAATGCAGGGTAGGGGCAGGAAAAGAGCTGTTGGGGGCAGGGGTCCTGCTTGTGGTCAAGGAAAGGACTTCCAGCAGAGCATACCAAATAGAGGTGTCTGGGTCTGGGCCCAGTGACATCTATGCAAAGGCCCTGTGGCCAAGAGTGTGTTTGGCTTCTCTGAGACAGCAAGGAGGAAGTCTGAGAAGCATAAGTAAGTGGCAGGTATGGGAAAGGAGGTTGACAGAGAGGGGTCCAGATTCTGCCAGGGCCTGTAACCTTCAGTAAGGATTTTTGCTTTTTCTTGGACTGGAAAGCAGGGGTGGAAGATTGCAACAGAGGAGGGACATGTTCTAACTTCTGTTTGAAAAGATTGTTTGTTCTGGGCCTTCGGTAATCTTGGTAGGAGCTGCAGCTCCTCAGGGTGTCCCCTGGCATGTCCAGGGGCGTTTAGGCCTGCCAAGTCCTGGGTACTGAGCTCCTCTGAGGCCTCAGGTTCGTCCTGCCTCTGTGAGTCTGCCAGGGCCCACCCTGTGGGCATGCTGAGCTGGGCAGGGCTCTGCAGGAGCCCTGGGGCCTGGTCTCCGGACAGTCCCCACGCTGTCAGCCTGCTGGCTGGCAGTACGTGGGGAAACGGGGTCCCCCTGTAGATGTGAGTGCCCCTCTGCCTTCAGCCTATATGGTGTCCACAGAGGGTCCAGTGCCTGCCGTTGGCTAGCACTCTGTCTAGTGACTGCCTGTGGACAATCAACACCCTTTTGAAGGGGTGGCCCTGGGCAGTGCCCAAACAATGGCCATCCCTCAGGGCAGGGCAGACCCAGACAAGACCCCGGCTCAGGTCCCAGCTGAGATCCCGCTTCTAGTTCCGGTGGTCTCTTCTTTTGCTCCCCTCAGCCCTTCGAAGCCGACTGCCTGCCTAGGATCCGCCTCTGTGTGGAGTTTGGTGTCTCTCTCCGCTGACCCCCCCGACCCCCGCTTGGCCAGAGTCTCAGGCTCCATGGCCTCCACTGTCTGTGGCATCAGAGAGCTTCGGTGTGCAGGCCGCGCTGCTCCAGTCTCCGGGAAGACATCCCAGCCTCTGGGGTGCCAAACTGTGGGGCTGGGGCTGCAGAGCTGAACCCCAGGGGCACCCACTCAGTGGCCGACTCGCGCCACAGGCAGAACTGTGGTGCCATCTGCTGCCAGACGCGCTGCCTTTCTCCCCAAAGTCACATGTGTTCTGATGACAAAAGTAACCCTTGCTCACAGAAGACACTTGGGGAAAAGACAAACTTCTCCATAGTCCCGCTCCTCAGATAAACTTGGTGGTAATGACAGGATGGTCTTCCCCATGTCTCACCAGGCACATACGAGGTCTTTAACTTTAGAATTCGACCTTTTTCACTTAATCTGTCAACACTTCTAGCTTCTGTCCTTCTACAAAGTGGAGATTGTGTGGATGGGACCTAGTTTGTTGAGCCAACCCACTGCTGATGGACATTTACCTTACGAGCTGTTTCCTGAATAGGAGTTTGCGACGTGATTACAAGAAAAACATTCCTTTATTTTTTGAAGTGTACACTTGACTGGTTCTTAGCATGTTCGCAGCTATTCACACATTTTTGTCACCTGATAAAAAAAACCCCGCCGTGTCCCTGAGCAGCGGTTCCCTCTCCCCGCTGCCAGCCCCGCCTTCTGTTTCTATCCATCTGCCTGCCCTAGACATTTCAGATAAACAGAGTCACACACTGTGACCTTTCGTGAGTTGCTGGGTCACAGCTTCCTGTCTTCCCACTTCCTCCTGATCGTGCTCCACACACAGCTCTCTTCCTTCTATAGCTGAATAGTGCTTCCCCGTGCAGAAGGACCACGGGTGTTTGCCGGCTTCTCTGTTGATCTATGCTTGGCTTGTACCCACCGTGGGGCTCTTGAAAATAGTGCCGCTGTGAACACCTGTGAGCCGTGTTTATTTGGGTCCCTGCTCCCAAATCTTCTGGGCAGAGCTGTCACTGACTCCGGGGATCCTGAGTGGCAGCAGACATTGCCCACCGTGAAGTCCCCACCCCCTTACCTTGCATGACTCCCTCTCCTCGGGGGCCCCGTCCGCAGAAACCGTGCAGCTCAGGAGGAGACAGCCGTGGTTCGTCATCTGGGTCCCAGCAGAGCAGTGGCACGTCCAGCCCACCGCCTGCCGGCCGTGGCCGCTCCACGCTCCAGGGAAACACTTAAAGCTCGTTAACAAATGTTTGTCATGTTCGAGGGCACTGGGCTGGAGGAAGGGGGCCCGTGGAGCCCTGGGGCCCTGTTCAGGCCTGTGTCCCTCTTCTGTGGCTGGAGGCGTCTGTGCTTCTCCGTGGTCTTCCATCGGGGCCCAGCCCTGCATGAGACTGAGCTGTTCTGCGCATTTCTCCTCTGTGTGTCAGGGACCCACACAGCATGTGAGGGGCTGTGATCGGCTCCCTTCCACGTCTGTCCACTCAGCCACTGTGCAACCTCTGAGCCACCAGGGCCACCGTGAAGATCGGCCACGTCTGCTGGCCACGTGAGTGTTGTGTGGGCAGCTCTCCTTTCACGCGGATGGTACCAAGTTCTCTTTCTGAAGTTGTGGACCCAGCTCCCTTGGCCCCCAGCCGTGCCCCCTTCTGAGTGCAGACGGACAACCCCAGATGCCGTGTGTGCTGAGCCAGGCCTCCGGTGTGGAAAGCAGACCAACTCCCTCCCCAGAAGAAAAAGGAGATAGTGTAGGCAGCTGTTGGCAACTTTTTAAAAATTATAATGAATATTCCCAGACAGAGACGACAGGGAAAGCATATATTAAATGTCAGGGACAAGGCTGGAAGGGAAAATGGGGAAATTTTCTTAGATTGCAGGATAGAGGGGTAGAGAGAGAAGAAAGGAAGGGAGTGATGGAGGAATTGGACGCTCCCCCCAGGTGGTTCCACTCAGCCGCAGCAGAGAAGGGAGTGCGTGGTGAGGGCAGGACCCCGTCTCCATAACAGAGTCCCACATGTGGGGGCTTGGAACGACAGAAAATCACCCCCTCACTGCGGAGAGGCTAGAAGTCCAAAATCTGACCGGTCCACCCACCTCCAGACCCTGTGCCGGGTCCTTCCTGCCTCATCCAGCTCCCTCTGCCCACTCGGACTCGTTAGGGGCCCCATGGGGTGCTGGTGACGTACTGAAGCCCGGGAATCTTGGCTCCTGTGCCGCGAGAGTTTAGCTCTCACTTGTGGGCTTTCAGGCTTCAGAAGTCCCTGGCCATGCCCCCCATGCGCCCCATGTTTCCTTCCTCATGCAGTGGCTCCACGGACCAGGCCGGGTTGGAAGCCGCCTCCTCGACCACAAGAGAGAAGATCCGGTCCAGGTTCCATGGCAGCCACGACCTCATCCACCGCCTGTTTGTTTGCATTTCAGGTGCCCGGCTGGGTGTGGGGGGGGGGGGCGGGCAGCGCCAGGCTGTGGAGGTCCTGGGGGCTTGCCCACTGTGTCATTTCTTCATGGGCAGGGGCAGGGAAGAGGGCTTCATTCCTCTGCAGTCCCCCAGCTGGGACTGGGGAACCCATGGCTCCCGCAGGGCCTTGGCGGCCCACACGGGGAGGTTCTGTTCATTTTATGGTTCAGGCTTAGTGTACCCCACCTAGTTTTGTTTCCCTCTCTGGGGATGGCTATACCGCCTGTTTGGTTCACCCCCGACCCCCGGGGGTTCAGAGGCGCATGAGCTTTTCACTGGCTCTCTGTTTAACGAACACATTCATGTGGTTCACAGTATAAAAGCGTGCAGCACCCTCGGGCCTCCTGCATGCCCTTCCCACCCCCACCTTTGAGGGCTGGGCTCCAGCTTGCCTGCTTGGCAGGAGCGTGGCCTGTGGCCTGACGATCCTGCAGAATCAGGGTCGTGCTGGGGGGCGAGGGCCCCACGGCCACGGCCAAGCCAGGCCAGGTGGGACCAGGAGGACCTCGAGTGACTCTGAGCTCTGGTTTGCATAGGTTTGTGTCAGGAGTTAGAGGGACATCATGCCCAGAAGGTGCTTGGAGCCGTTGCTGATGCACAGAGAATCCTCTAGAAGCACTGACTGCAGCACTATCCTTGGGACGGGTCGCTGGGCTCCCATTTCGGTGGGATGCCTGCAGCTTTTCCCTCACTTTGCTGTCCCTGGCAGCCGGGGCCACCCCCACAGAGCTAACCCAGCACTGCTTTCCACCGAGAGGGCCCTCATTTTCAGAGGGAGGAGACCTCCCAGGGTCTCTGCAGGGAGGGTGGGGCGAGTGCATTCCTGCTAGGAGGGGGCCGTCTATGTGGTCACCCCTGCCACCAGCCTTCCCTGGACTCCTGAGCTTTGACTTCGGCCAAACTGTGGCCCAGGGGCTGGGCGGCCCCCTCTTGCCCTGAAGAACATGTGTCAGTCCCGGCCTGTGAGCTCTGGCCAGGATCACCCAGCTCGCAGCCCTGAGCCCCTGTAGCTGGTTGGCCTGACCTGCTGTCCGTTTGTCCTTCTCTCCCAGGGGTGGCTGACCAGTTGCAGACGAACTATGCCAGCGACCTGAGGAGTATTCTCAAGACCCTTTTTGAGGTCATGGCCACCAAGCCGGAAACAGATGACAAGGAGAAGTTAAAGAAGGGTGAGTGCCCCCAAGGGCATGTCCGCCCTCCCCACCACCGCGTCCCAGGCCACACACTCCCCTGGAGCACGCGAGGCCCTCCAGAGCCATCCAGCCTGCCTTTCCATGGCCCACCGCCCACATAGAACTACCAGCACTGCCAGGCTCTCCGCTACGTACCAAGGGGCACAGGTCACAGGCCCCACAGGTGCCCTGGCAGGTTTGCAGGTGCTCCCAGCTTCCATGCACAGGCTTGTGTGTGCAGCACCTCCTGCTGTCCCTGCATGCCCTCCAGCAAGGCCATTGACTTCTCAAGGCCAGCAGGCTGTGGGGGTGGGGGGTGTTGGTGCCGGACAGTGAGACCTGGACGTGGCACATCCCAACTGCGTTGACAGTGGAAGCCCAGCCCAGGGTCAAGGAGGGATCCTAAGGCCCCACCTCATGGGGGGAAGTGGTCGCCTGGGACCTCCCTCACGTGTTTACAGATCCCCACACATCCCAGCACAGATACACACACTCGCTCTCACATGCACACATACTCTAACCACACACAAGCTCACACTCACAGCTCTCACATGCACACATGGATGCACACACACACATACTCTCATGCATGCGCGCACGCACACACACACACACACACACACACACACACACACACACACACACTCCCACATGCATGGGGTGGGGAGGGGCCTCATCCCTGCCGGCCCTCCCCTTGTGCTGGGCTGAGATACTTGTTCTGGGCGAGCTGCCCATCCTCATGGGGCTTCTGGGTACACAGGGCAGCCTGCCCAGCTGGAAAGCCCGCCCCCACCCAGGAGGGCACATCCTGGTTGCAGGTGGGCAAGGAGCAGAGTTAGTACGGTGTGTTGTCCCCTGCTCTGCCTCCTGGGATCCGGGCCACTGGGCTCTCCGGGAATTCGGGGCAGGGCTGCTTCTGCAACATCACGACTCAGAAAAGGTAGGTGCCATGGACCAATTCTGCAAGCAAGGATGGTGGGCTCCCGGCTCCTGGCTCCCAGCCCCCGTCCAGGCCTGGTTCCCCTACCGCCTCGGGGGTCATAGCCCTGGGGGACCTTCCACACACAGACAGTGCAGGGGCTCTGGGGCTGGGGGCCTACAGCAGGGAGCAGCTACAGACGTCAGGGCCCAGAGCCCAGCCTGCTGGGGTGGTGCTGACTCACCCCTGTGCTGGGGGACTGCGGCTGGCTTTGGAGGGACTGACCCACTTCTGGTCTCCTGCGGGTGGGCCTAGCAGGGACAGGTGCTTGCCCATCAACCCCACCCCTTCCTCTCTCCCTCCCTCTCTCTTCTAGTCACCCAAAGCCTGAGGAGTGCAGCCTTAGAGGACTGTGCTCTGTGCCAGGAGACCCCATCGTCTTCCGAACTGGCGGCCAAGAGCCGAGATGGGGACTTGGAAGGTGCGTGTGAGGTCTGGGCCAGGCCCCGAGGTGCTGCATGCTGGGCAGGGAGTGAGGAGCCTGTCTGGACTCGCCACCTCTCTGTCTGGACCCAGAACTCCCTCTGTTTCTCCAATTGGTGGTCCCTTCCCAGAGGCCCTCTGGGCCTGCAGTTGCCCCTAGGGTGGGCACATGGACCCCCTTAGCCAAGGCCTTCGGCTGTGGCCAGAGGTGGCTGAGCCCACCTGTACCCACCTGCCCACAGGAGGAGCCTCACGTGGCAGCTATCTGACATCTTTTTCATAGGGGACTGCACTGTCTGGTCACATGGGAGTCCCAAGCCCCTTCTCCCCTTTTAGACTGGAGGTCAGGCCTGCTGGGGGCCCGGTGGCTTAGTGATCAGGGAGGGAGCCTCCCGGGCAGGCTGGGGGCACTAGCCACCCATCTGTGGAGAGGGGCTTGCCCACGAGTTTTGAAGGGGCTGGAGGCCTAAGAGAGGAGCGGTAATGGATGGAGGCAGAAAGGCCTGGCCAGGTGTCAAACAGGATCAGGGCCGAGGAGGCCAAAGCTGACCCCGCCATAGGCCAGAGGTCACAGCACTCCTGGTGCGCCTGGCCTGCTGGTTGACCCTGTTGGTCCCCAGCTCAAGGCCTTCCTGTTGTGCCCCAGTCCCCTGAGGGTGACCGAGGCTGTGGGGTTGGGGGTGTCAGGAGCAGCACAAGCTCCTCACCTCTACCTTTCCAAAAACCATGCACAAGGGTACCTGTCATAGGAACTTGGAGCCCCTCTGCTCAGGAGTGACTGTAATGAGCTTCGAGCTGCGAGGTCTGGCATTGCCCAGTGCACAGGAGTGCCTCTGGCCTTATGTGCCTGAGCTGGAGATGCTTAGGGGCTAAAGCTGTCATCCAGGAGTTCCCTGGGGCCAGCCTAGGATTCGACACGGGGTGGAGGGTGAGGGCAACCACGAGATACGGCCTCCCTGCAGGGTGGGGGTGAGCTGACCGGGCCCAGAATGGAAGGCAGGAGAGCTGGGTAGGAGGCAGTTTGAGGTCTGTGCAAGCCAGCAGGAGGAGGGGCAGATTCTCCAGGGTGGGCAGGAGGCCAGGAAACCCTAGGCCCTTCCGAGTTCTGTTTGGAGGCCCTGAGGGTGGGGCTTGGGGACACAGGACGGTGTCCACTTGAGCATCAAGCCTGGGGGTTATGTGAGACTGCAAGGTCCACTTCTGAGCACACACTGTAGTCTGAGGAGGGATCCGAGCTGCTCTTTCCCCCAGGTCATGGATGCTGGCCTCGGGGCCTGGCAAACCACAGTCGGTTTGGTGCCCCAAATGGGAGGACAGTGCCTGTCTCTCTGCGTTTGGGAGCCCGCTTCTCCCCGTGCTGACATGCCTCCTGAATTCCAGAGCAAACCTCCAGAGGCTTCCATCAGCCAAGACCTAGAGAAGTCAGCTGGGACAGGACCCACATGCATGGAAGGAGGGGGTGGCCCCTGGCCTGAGCCTGGCCTGCAGACGTGTCAGGGAGGGGATGGCTGGGGGTCTCCCTGGGCCTCTAGGACCCCAAGAGCCTGAGAACTGCCCTGGATGGGCAAGGCTGGGGGGCATCTGAGGCCCCCACAGGGTGCACCTAGAGCTGCGCTGGGGGGTCGATCTCTTCGTTTCTCAGCCACCACCTCTGCCCAAGGGGTCTGCCAGGCTGGGTGCTGACAGAGAGAAGCTAGGGAGAGGACCATCCGGGTGGACACTCCCAGCCCACATCCTGAGTGCCGGTGACCTGGCTGGTGGCACAGCACAGTTTGTCGCTGGGGGCTGGTGGACAGGCACTGTCCGTGAGGCCGGCGGTTTCCTGAGACTGTAGCCAGCAGCAGGGATCCAGGGACTGGCGGGAGAGAAGGAGGGCGGCCCGCCATCACTGCTGCAGGTCTCCCTTTGGCTGACCTCATTCCCACTGTCCCAGATCCACCGGAATGGGTCCCCGACGAGGCGTGTGGCTTCTGCACAGCCTGCAAAGCGCCCTTCACTGTCATCCGCCGGAAGCACCACTGTCGCAGCTGTGGGAAGGTGAGCAGTCTGGTCGGTGGAGGGCGTCCCTGTGGTCTGGGACAGGCTCTGAGCCTTCCCCTGGGCTGCGCTGGGGTTCTGGAGGCCAGGACAGAGGCCCTGGGGACCTGACAAGGCCTCTGAGGTCTTTGTGCAGGGGTCCTTGAGCCCTGGGCCCTGCTCTGACCTGGCCCCCAGGAATTGAGGCCCCCAGCTCCCCCACACCCGGGGTCCCGATGGTGCTGTCCCTAGCCACTGCAGAGCTGGTGTTGCAGGGAGAGCGGGTGAGAGTGGTGCCAGAACCCCTTGCATGAGCCTGGCCTCCTGGGGCCACGACCCAGGCCAGGTTTTTCTGGAGGTCCCGGCAGCACGTGCCCAGGGAGGTCGTGGGAAGCGCCCCCGCAGGCCCAGGGTCGAGGGCTGTGGAGGACCCCGGCTCACTGCCCACGCGGCCCACCCCTCCACCGCAGATCTTCTGCTCGCGCTGCTCCTCGCACTCAGCGCCGCTGCCGCGCTATGGGCAGGTGAAGCCAGTGCGCGTGTGCACGCACTGCTACGTGTTCCACGTCACGCCCTTCTACAGCGACAGGGCGGCCATCTGACTCGCCCTGCACCCCGCAGCTGCCAGGGCCCTGCGACTCCCGAGCCGCCGCTGGCCGCACCAGGATCACTATGCGCCTCTTCAAGCTGCTGCCGCCACGGAGGGGCTGCTGGCCGCCCCGCGCCCCCGCCCCCATCCTCTCCCCTATCTGTGGGCCCCCATTCTCCCCCCACACGGAGGGCCCACGGCAGGGGCCAGCAGGAGTTCCGGCAGTGGCGTGGCTGTCTGGGCGGGGGTGGGCGCTCCTCCTGCCTGCCCGTCCCTGGGCCCCCGCCCCCATCCCACCGAGAGGCTGCCAGGAGGCCCAGCCATAGTAGAAGGCCCAGTCAGAGCTTGCCCTTGATCAGGGAAATGGGGTCACACCTGCAGCCAAATCCTGGGCAGATGGGGGACACCTCCAGGAGAGGGGTCAGGTCTCAGTTACCTGGACACTTACCCTTCTCTCTCCCCACCTGGAGCCAGCAGCTGCCTCCTCACTCCCCAGTGCACCGTCGCTGCTCCCCTTCCAGACCTTGGCGGAACAACAGACATCTGGGTTATTCTCAGAGGAGGAGGTGCAGATGCACAACCAGCCTCTCTAGGCCCGAAGGCACCCACTGCCCTCGGGTGCCTGCCTGCTGATGGGATGTGGGGCAAATAGCCGCCTGCACGGCGCTGAGACCCAGGTCCCCAGGTTCTCAGGCCCTGGGCTACCGGGGCAGAGGACCACCGCCCACCCGCTGCCACCGCCCCCTTCCCTCTGTTCCCCCCACCCCCACCCCCGGACCTGGGAGTGGCCGGGGCCCCAGGCTGAGGCAGCCAGCCGGCACCGACAGCTCAGGCTGAAACCTCAGGCTTCATGTTGCAGTGACGGCTGCAGCTCTGTTTTTAGAGAGATGGCACACGACTGCTTCTTTTATAAGAAAATCCAGCTACTGCGGCATAGTGGGCACACATGCACAGAGACGGCTTCTTGGGTGGGGGGTATACAATGGAGGGGATATTATGTATTGAGATTATTTTTATTTTCTAAATGCTGTAATTCGAAGCCATTTCCATAAATCTCTTTAAGGATTGCAGACACTGGTTTCTGATGTGAATGCAGACTTCTTTTTCTGTCTGGGAGGCAAAGGTGTTCTTGCTAATATGCATTCTCCCCTAGGAAGCTCGGGGCGTCTGCACCCTTGTGACGGATGAAGGGCTCCCACCAGTCTTTAGGAGAGGGGTGGCCAGCCTGTCCCACTCCCCAAAAGCCCCATCCCATGCCCTGCCTATTTGTCCAGCCCCTTGTCTCATGTATCCTCAGCTCTGACACCTAGCCTGTACGTGTTTGTGGGGGGGGGGGGGCTTCCCCACCCTGGTCCAGGGCTGGGCCACCTATGCCTTCTGGAGTGCCCTGGGGAGAATGCAGGCCACCAGACTGCCATGGGGTTGCCATGGCAATGGTGTCTTCCTCTGCTTTTGGAGGCTAATCCCTTGGGAACTGGGTGCCCAGTCCCTTGGAATGGGGGAATAGCTGGGAGGAACCCAGTGGCCACCAGACCCACTTTCTTTCTGAGAGGTAAAAGAGTGTTTAGAATTTGGAGGCTCCCTAGGAGCAGTCCTGAGTCTTTCAGGAGCAGAATAGAAGGGGTGTCTGGCTGCCCACCTGGACAAAGTTCCTCCCACCCCTGTGGGTGGCTGTAGCTGATGTTGCCAGCTGGACAGCGGTGCCTTCCAGAAGGTCGTGTGCTGGCAGGGGACGGGGGACACAGCCCGTGCTGCCACTGACCAGGAAGTCAGCCCCTTAGAGGAGAAACCTCTATGGAGAGACCCTGTAGGGTCCCCATTCCTCTCCTCAACAGGCACCCACAGTTGTCACCTTCCAGACTTAAGATGTGACAGGCCCTCCTCATCTGCCAGGTCAGGCTGGGAGGAGTGGAGACCCAGGCAAGAAGGTCTGCCTGCCCTTGGCACAGACAGGGCCGTTCTCCAGAGGGAGAGTCCTAGGCCCCAGGGACACAAGGGAGCTCTGCATGTGGCCAGGAGCCAGGAGGCCCTGCATGTCAGACTTGGCCTGCCTTTGTGCACCCCCACACCTGGCTGCCCTGCAGGGAGGTCTCGGGCTATGGAAGCTGCCAGTGAGGGTGACTAGCTGTAGTGTTTGTTCAGGAATGAAGATGGTACTGAATCATGAGACTTTCCATGCTAAACCAGGGACGTATGGTCACTCTACCCTTCTAGGGCTAGCCACACTCCAAGGGCAGAGCCAAGACCTGGTGGGCAGGGATGAGTCCAACACAAGAGTTTTCCACTCAGGAAGGTTCTAGGAATGGTCTGCTGCCTGCCACAATAGGGGCTCAGGATTGGGAATCCCTGGGGGAAGGGACAGGGAGAAAGCCAAGAGCTCCAGGTTTGGAATCAGCCCTTGCAAGCTGGTCTTGGGACTCGAGCACACTAGCCTTCCTGAGGCTCCTGTTCCCCTTTGTCACCATTGCTGTGGTGTTCCCACTGCTGTTTTCTGAGCACTCTACTCCCCTCAACACTCCCCCTGACACTCCCCCACAGGGCAGGATTCCTGTGTCAGGGGGAGAAACTGAGGCTCACGGAAGTTAGTAGGCGGTGGCCACGGCGGAAACAGAGTGCCCCAAGACAGCCCCACCCATTGTGCCTGAAGAGCCACTTCTAAAGGCCGCTCTGGGGACAGGGGCACCACCAGTCTCAGAGCGCCCACCACACCCCTGTCTGGCATCCAGAGGAAGGCTGGGGGGCTGCCAGGAAGCAGGAACACCTGGGTCTGTCTTGCCTGCCTCACCCCTCTCTTGGGCTCGCTCAGGCCCTGGGGAGAAGGCCTTGTATGCTCCCCAACACTGCCACCACTGGCTTCTGGCAGCAGGCGGGGGCCCTAGGCCTGGCTGGGCCCCGCAGGTACTTGGGACACGGATGCAGCCTGCCAGTGACCGAGTCAGAGGATGGACAGTCAGAACTGGGAGCACCCAGTGCTCTCTGTACCCACGGGACTTCAGGAATCCCTAGAGCAGGGAGAGCCTCCATACTCAGCCTCAGTGGGGTGGCATAGGGGTGAGAAGAAGGGGGACACCCTGTCCAGTCCTGCCTCCTCTCGCCACAGGCTCAGCTTTGTCCAGAGCACCCCCCCAACTCCCAGACCCACACCCTGGCCTCTGGAGGGGCCCTGCTGCCCGCCCCCACTGGTGGCATCTGTCCCCACAGACATGCCCAGATACAGCCCTTCAGGCCTGGACTGCCTCCCCCAGACCACAGGTGGGCAGCTCAGGGCAACAGCTGTGAGGCCCTGGGGTGGGGTGGGAGCACCAAGAACAGGGCCATTTAGAGTCCTGGCTGCTGAGGAAGGTGATGGGACAATATCTCCAGGAGGTCCCTGGCAGGAGTGGGATGGGGCGCTCCCTTTCTCCTGGGGCTGACGATGGGGCTAAGGATGGGGCTCCCTCCAGGGTCCTCGCTACAGCCCGTGATGGCCACCAGGGGGCGCCCATCCCACAGCCTGCTCTTCCTGCAGGTCTAGCCTGGGGGTGGGGGTGGGGGTGGGGGTGGGGGTCGGGGTGGGCACTGTGGCCACTGGAAAGCTGCCTGCAGGGGCTAGGGGGCTGGGGGCCAGCAAGTACGACACACAGGGCAAACCCCATCTCAGATCCGTCTGGGAGTGGGGAGGAGGCGTCCTGCTTGGAGCTGGACACCTCAAACCACCAGGGCTGGGACTGGGGACTGATAGTCCCTGCTCTTACGGTTCCCTGGACTCTGCAGTGGGAGCTGGGGGGAAGGTGAGCAGGACCCAAAGGGCCTGCCCCATGCTACTTCCCTGACCCAGAGTCCTGGAGGCAGTTAGCTCCTCAGAGGCCACTCCTCCAGGTGGCCCTCCCAGACGGCAGCATCAGCCCCACCCCCCAGGCTCACACACAGCCTCAAAGCACAGCCTGGGGGCTCTTTGCAGTGGTCAGGGCAAAACTCTCAGGGCCTCTCCTGCAGAGAGGGGAGGGGCAGAGCCCAGCACCAAGCAGTTAATCAAAGGGGACGTCACGCCGAAGACTTAAAAACACAAGCATGGCTCTGTCTTCTGCTGGTGTGCTCAGGGCGCCCCAGGGCTAGAGTCTGCCCCAGAGCTGGGCAAAGATGGGCACCCAGATGCCCCAGACCTTCCCTGCCCTTGGGGGCCTGCAGGTCCGGAGTAGGGACACGTGCACTGGTGAAGCTGGCTGGGCCTTGGGGGTGAGGGAGTATCTGTGGAGAATGGGGTATCAGAATGCCCCCGAGGGTGTGAGCAATGTGGGTACTCCTGGCAAGGGCGGAGCACACCTGGGAGCTCAACTGGGTCACTCCAGACACCAAATTCCGGCTTTGTCCTGAGGGCACTGGGGAGTCATGGGAGAGTTCTGAGCAGGGCAGGGCACAGTCAGAATTGTGGTTGGGAAAACTCACAGGGAGATGGGTGGGTGGGACAGAGGTCAGGATCCTATGAGAGGTGGTAAGACGCCTCCCATCACACAGGGCCCTGCCGGGCTGTGTGGGCGGAGGTCTGGGAGGCAGCTTGGGCCACACTTGCCAGAGTCCCTCCCTATCAGTCTAGAAGCTGCTAGATGACCTGGAGCCCAGGGGTACAGGCTGGGGTTGGGACCCTCCTGGTCTCGGACCCTCAGGGCCTCCAGCCTGAGACTGGAAGATCTCCACCCTAAGACCATGTGTAGCAGCCAGGTACAGTTTGGAAGGCCTGGAAGATTTCCTGGAAGAGGTGGGGAAAAAGCCAGAAAGGCCTAGGGCAGAGAACCCAAGAAGGTGGTACAGGGAGAGGGGTTTTTGGTGTGAGCCTCAAGGTCCCTACTGTTTGTGGGAGGGAGACCTGCCCATCTAGTCCAGATGTACTCTCCCTGAGAGGAGAGGGCCCACAGCCATCAGGGGCCTGGGAGCAGCAGCAGGGCTAACCCCTGCCCCACCTGGACCCGAAAACGGATGAGGTCGCTGGCCCTGAGCCATCAGTTTTCTACCCTCTGACTCAACACCACAGCAAATGCCTGGGTCTATACCATATCCCACCCTCAGACCTTTTTTTTCCTCACTATAAACATTTTTAAAAAATTATTGTTT